TTTTTAATAGTTATTCAACTGTATTCTAAGCACCAGCTGTCTGTTAGAATTTTTAGAGTTTACTTAACTAAAAATAAATGAGGTTAACATATAATTTGTGATTTTTTTTCTCTTTTTTTTCTTTTTTCTCTTTTTCGGTCATGTTATGTTTAACTGTCAAAGGTTTGTTACAAACTATAAAACACATCGTGCAGACTTCTGGATGTTAGAAGAAAACTAATACTGCTCATGAATGAGACTAAAGGCAGGAAGGTGTCCTTTAAGACTAAACATGTTAATAGGACCTCCCTATTTATATCATAGTTTATGACATAGCACGTGTATTTCAGTAATAACCTACTTATTTCAGTGTAGTGGTGAACAGTCACACAGCTCACGTGGGCGTTATATGTGATACTCCTTAATTATAATTTATCCAAGTTAACTTCAGTTAACCATTCAGACAGTTCTTTTGCAATGAAAAACATAAACATCCATGCTCCTGGTAGGTTTCCGCTGTGCCAGCTGTTTACATTACAGCTGCTTATGCAGTAGCCATGGTAACCACGAACTCTGAGCGGCTGGATCGACGGAGGTCAGACAACAATTTTACATATATGATCTTAAGACAGGACATAGCCACTGTACGTGCTGGCCTCATATCAAATGTAAACGCAGACTGAGTCTATGTTTGACGTTTGTTTTATATCTAATCTTGCTCTCAAATATTTAAACAGCAGCGAGTCTGCAGCTGAGGGAATACAAACTCAAATTGTCGGAACAGGTTTGCTCGTTTCTTGCGTGTATTCATTTGGTGATTTATTAAATTTATAACTGTTATTCTAATCTGCTGCTGAGTCTCTTACGCTGATGTTCAACAAATCACTTTCATTCCACTTTGATCTGTGACAAACTGACGGTTCATCTCTGTTACAGTGTTGCGTTAGACTGCTATATTTTTTTGTTCTTAATGCTGTAGATTTTCACGTCTCTGGAATAGTTGGCAGTAATAAGGATGATTTTCTGTAAAATCATATAGATATGACCCGTGACATATTCGTAGATGACCGTTAGATTAGTCAGCTGGGAAACTCTGTGTTAACTCAGAGAGCTGAAGATATCGTGGATATGCTGACCTCGCTCTGTGGTGTACAGGGCTGTTTACCCTCATGATTAATATTCACAATAAAAATATTAGCCAAACGCCATGAAGTCTGTATGTGTTTCATAGTGTCAAACAACCTTTGTACAGTTAAAGCTAGCAGTTACCACATGACGGAAACACCAACGTTATTTCTTTTATGTGTTTATACGCAGGTCACGCTGATTACTGAACAAAAACCCAAAGATCAGCTGTTAATCGAATTTATTTGCTCTCTCTCCTCCTTAAACATGTTTTTAATGTTAGTTATAATTCAGAATTGGCGACTGAAACACGTAGGACACATAAGAAAATCAGGAAATAAAACCCCGATAAATATAACCTCAGTAAAAGAAGTCAGTGTCAGCGGGGGTTATTACAGCTGTGTACCGGTGCCTGCGCTTTGTCGGTGGTAATAACAGCTCGATTGCTTGCGAGGTGAACGGGTCTATCCCACGCTTTGCCGTGAGACTGGGCAGACATCTCTGAAATCATCAAAGCACTTTTGCAAAGAGGCTCTATCTTGACAAACCGACCAGACACATGAAGATTAAACCACTACATTCTCGGCTAAAAAAAATATTAAAACGGTATTTGGTGACACACAAACAGGGTTTTTCAAAGTTCAGTTCTGTTAGCTTCCACATGCCGGTTGTTGTGTGGTAAAAACAATGGCCACCAGGGCAAAGCAATAGTTTTGACTCGATCAGCGTTAACCCCGCCCCCTGAGTTTGATGGGTGAGGCTGACAGATAAAATTATTTCATG